TGATTGTCCACTTGCAATCTATGTTGTTTTAGATTGGGTAAATCTAGATTTAACCTATCTGGTTGCGTCTTATCGATATAACCACTTTTAAAAGGGTTGCATTCTTTTCAACAAAAATCTGTTTTTATGGTCATTAAAGCATCTAAGATTGCCTGCATCTTTAAAAAAAACAATATGTTATATGGCTATTTATGCATTATAGGGTTACGTCTTAAGTGTTTTATGGTTATTAAACATCTGAGGGTTGTATTTTTCGGTTGTATCTTGTTGAAAATAACCGATTTATGGTTTTTTCAAAGGTTGCGTCTTATCAATATAACCACTTTTTGAAAGGTTGCATTCTTTTCAACAAAAAACCGTTTATGGTCATTAAAGCATCTAAGATTGCGTGCTTCTTTTTGGAATATGTTTTATGGGTATTAATTTATTGGGCTACATCTTAAGCGTGTTATGGTTATTAAACATCTAAGGGTTACATCTTCAGCGTTTTATGGTTATTAAATATGTTTTATGGTTAACACCGTTGATGGTTATTAATGCATCATACGGTTGTGTTTTTGTTCAAAACACCATTTTATAGTTATTAACTTATTAATGCATCATAAAGTTGCATATTTTTGAAAAATTTGTTTTGTGGTTATAAATGCATCATAGGGTTGAGTTTTAAAAACATTCGTTTTATGGTTATTAATGAATCCTTGAATTGCATCCTTTTGAAAAAACTCGTTTTATGGTTAATAATGCATCCTAAGGTTGTGTTTTCTCGAAAAAACGTTTAGTGGTTGTTAATGTATCATATGTTTGTGTCTATCATTTTATGTGAAAATATTTTCTAGAATTGCGTCTTTTTTAGAAAAACTGTTTAATTTTTTGAAATGTGAAATTACTGTCTAAACTTTGAAATGAGATCTAAATTTTTTTCCTTTTCATTCTATAATCTTCATAAGTCTGATTTGGGTTACCTCAACTTGAGAGTCGATAATAACAATGCTTTAAAATTCATTAGTGATGTTTATGTATTTATGTTCACATGCATATATGTCGAAAGTGAATTGTATTTTTGGTTATATTGACACCAAAACTTTCAAAAAAATAAAATCGAAGATTCTTTACTTCCACGATTTCGCGGGGGGCTTGGATCCTAGTTTGTAATATTGAAGAGGATGACTAAGAGACTTTCAAAAGTAGAAGCAAAGAGAGTGTAGAAGTGGGCATACATATTGATGATATGAACAGTTGTTGCACAAGCGTATCTGTAACGCCCGAACGCCGTCGAGTATGCAGGGGAAATCCTCATCTTCTCGAGAGAAATCTTCATCTCTCAATAACATACATGGGGAATCCTCATCCCTTTAGGAAAAATCCTCATA